CCTGGAACCCCTAAATCGCATTGGATTTCTTCTTTTTTTACTGAATGCGGCGACAAATGAACCCGATCTAGACAAACACTTCCGGACTGCTACTCTCCTCCTTATTCCGTTACAAAGTTCTGACATTTATAATCAGCCGGTCGCCCACCTGCTTGAAATTGCCGTTCCGCCGCTGCTCGCAGTCCATCATGTCGTGGAAAATGGGGATCATGATATTGCGCACCTCCGGCTGCGGGACGAGCGATACGCCCAGGAAGGGGCCGATCATCCCCGGGATGAAGTGATATTTGTGTTCTCCTGCGAGATAAAGAGGAGACGTGATGTACGGAGGCCGATGATACAGCCGGGACCCCCAGACTTCAGACACTTACCCAGGTTCTGCCACATGTTGAAGAGCTCGTAGGTCATCATAACTCGCATATCGCCGTACCTGGAAGAGACAGCCAATCACAGTGCGGCAATACAACAAAACTGGAGACTATAGACAGGTAATTAGAGACAGGCCTAGAACCCTCACCAGACGCTCAGTGTCCACCATCCCTCTCTGCCAATCCCTCCACTGGATTCCATCCCTCTCTGCCAATCCCTCCACTGCCTTCCATCCCCTGCCAATCCCTGCACTGGATTCCATCCCTCTCTGCCAATCCCTCCACTGGATTCCATCCCCCACCCTCTCTGCCAATCCCTCCACTGGCTTCCATCCCCCACCCGCCTCTGCCAATCCCTCCACTGCCTTCCATCCCCTGCCAATCCCTGCACTGGATTCCATCCCCTGCTCCATTCCCTGGCCCCTCTCTGCCAATCCTTCCACAGGCTCCTTCCTCTATCCAGTGTTATTACTGCGGTGCGTGATACACTTTCCCAGGTCCTGGACCATACAGGGACGCTACTTACTTGTCCAGAATGCGTCTCCTTTTTCCCGCTGCAAAGTTTTCCAGCTGTAGACTGGGCTGATTGATGAAAAGAACGGCCAGACTGAAGTACGAGTTCCACACCTAGAATAGGGAGAGGCAGAGCTGTGACCATCACCCACACACTCCATCATCCCCCCAAAGTCCATCACCCACACACTCCACCATCCCCACAAAGTCCATCATCCCCACACTCCATCATCCCCACAGTCCATCATCCCCACAGTCCATCATCCCCACATTCCATCATCCACACAGTCCATCATCCACACAGTCCATTACCCCCACAGTCCATCATCCCCACAGTCCATCATCCCCACACTCCATCATCCCCACACTCCATCATCCCCACAGTCCATTACCCCCACAGTCCATCATCCCCACAGTCCATCATCCCCACAGTCCATCATCCCCACACTCCACCATCCCCACAAAGTCCATCATCCCCACAGTCCATCATCCCCACATTCCATCATCCACACAGTCCATCATCCCCACAGTCCATTACCCCCACAGTCCATCATCCCCACAGTCCATCATCCCCACACTCCATCATCCCCACACTCCATCATCCCCACAGTCCATTACCCCCACAGTCCATCATCCCCACAGTCCATCATCCCCACAGTCCATCATCCCCACA